TCTCTCTAGAACCAGAATGTGTCTGGATAAATGGATGAAAGTATACCTCACCTTTCCCATGTTGGCAGCAACACGGAAGCTCAAATGGTGGATGTCTCCCCCAAAGAAAGTAATGAGAGAACTGCCATTCCTACCTGCAAGGTTATTCTGGGACAATAAGTGTTTGATTTTGTATAATCCAACAAGATGGCGAAGGAGATATCCTTGTTGTGGCCAAAATTGCTGGTATAAGTGAAACTAAGCACACTAGCAGTCTCATCCCTTTATGTCACATCTTCACTCTGACTCATGTTCGTGTTGATCTAAAATTGAATGCTGAGGACTTAAACGTGGACATGGAAGGGAAGCTGCATGTACGGGTAGACGTGGGTCGTGATGGAAGCTATGACTGCTGTAACTGTTGCTGACCTAACAGAGTAAGATGTGCAAAGCTGCTTCAGAAGATATCCAGATTACAGGGGTACGGCTTGAGCACAAAACTGGTGGCAAAAGCGGTGACTAGTTCAGGAAGAAGTAAATGCTGGAGAACAGAGAAGGAAACAGAAGCACTGCTGTCAAATGCCACGAGGACCCGGTTAGTGCTTTATTAAATGTTAGCCCATATTTATCCCGGTGCGTTGAAGATGCTCTATTTTTTTTTATTAAGGAGCTCCTTTTCCTTTCATCTGTTTGTTTGGCTGTGGATTATATGACATTTGAAGTAGTTTGTTTGCTTGGTCAGGTGTTACTTTATTTTATTCTTTTCGCTGTCAGAAGTGTCATCTGGTAAGAAAACTTCCCCTGATGCAGGTTATTTCAGCAAAATTTTCCTTTTTGTATCCTTCCGGTGAAAGGTAAGAGAGAAGATGCAAATTCTATGTTGGTTCAGGGTTTGTCTTATATTCCACTACAAATCTAATCAGAAAACATAAGTAAATGAAAAGGAGAAACTTACAGTTATTCTTAGCTACTATGAATCTTAGCCTGAAATCTCCAATCTGATATTGCACATAGAAGTTGTTTTCTTCATGAAATTTACGTTAGCATTAATGTCCTCTTTCTATTTTTTTTTAATGATGAATATTAGATTTTCAGAAAGATTTGCATTGTCTCTTTCCTTATTCTCTCTGATAATGCCAAATGTTTAGAAGGAAATGCAAAATTAGAGAATTTTTCTGGGCTTGAATGATGCTTTTTTTCACTAGTGACACTGACCTGGGGTGCATCATTATAATATAACGTGGTTCATGCAGGGAAATCTTTCTTATAAAAGCCAAACTTGGTTTAGAAAACTTACATGTTCCAACCTTTCCCATCTTTATTATTTTGCTTACCGTGATTACATTATGTCTAAAATCCCTAATTGGAACTAATCTTTAACTTTAATAAACTTTTCAGACTATGATATGCTTCCTTAGTTTTTGGCTTTTCGATTAATACTTTGTCCCACATTGGTAAGGGAACAAGCTTCAATTATAATTGATTAGAAAGGAGAAAAAAGTGATAATATCAGCTGTCCACACTGCTAAGCCCACCTTACAAGTAGACCTTTTGCCCCTAACGCTGGGGGAGGGTGTCTCTATTCCCCCTTGAATAATTTAGTGGGCTTCCCTTATCTCCTCCACTTGTCCTTTAGTTGCAGCCTTTGTTTTCTTTTTCAGGGTTTGGTTAAAAAGCATGATTATTTTTTTGAGGATGAAGATTAAAAGAAATCCCACGACTAGATGCCATATTTTCAGTAGCATCTCTCAAGAGGATTATAAATATAGATGTATTAATGCTGGCTAGCTTTCATAATTATTACTCCAGGGGACCATAGACCAACTCCCTACTCCCTACTAGGATTAGGGTTTGGAAGCTTATTCATTCCAAATTCTTGAAATTAACTGCAACTGTATGCTATCAATTATGACATAAGACTAATTAATCTTCTGGAGCCGAATGTGGTTGCGGATGATGAATGAGGAACCTTGAGAGTAGTCAAAATGAAATGGGCATTTATGAGGTACGTATAGACAGCATTTAATTTTTATCTTTTGTCGGGTCAAAATTCGATTTGATTTATTATGAAGTTTGAGGATATATTAGTTGTCGGTTGGATTTACTAGAATCATAAATTTCAGACTCTTCATTGTTCATCATTTCTTCATGATAACTTTTACATTGAATTTGGTTTTCATTTTATCAAATACCAATGTCAATAAAAATAAGAATATATAGCCAAATTAATTCCATATTTAGTTTTGAATTAGTTGGTTTTCATAGATAAGAGTATAAATATGTAATCAAAGAATTGGGAATCTCAATTCATTTTCATGTAAATAATAACTAATTTTTACACATTAAATAGCTAAAATATATATATTAAATATAAGTAAAACCCAATATTATCATAACATAAGCTGAATGTTGGAAGGAGAAAATTTCAGCTATTAAAAAAAAATAAAAATTGTTTATGCTTGAGAAAAGAAAACTGTGTTCCCATTTTAGTCACTGACTTGAGAATAGTCGATGGTGGAGGGAGAGGGACCCTCCCTCAATCAAGCAATATGCATATATGTATAAACATATATATATATATATATAAGTGATAAGGATGTGTCAAATTGTGTAGGAGTTGTAGGTTGTAGGTGGCATTCTAGTGGGCATTTTTCCAAGGTTTTGTCTAAACAGAATATGTTTCTTATTTTTGGATTCATTCGTATCCCTCATTGTTTTTTTTTTTTAAAAAAAAAAATCTTTAATTTGCAAAAATATAAACTTTTAGATTACATTGTTTTTCATTTATGCGATTATAACTATTTCAATAATAAAAATATTTATTTTAATTAAAAAATGTTATTTTTGTTAAATTCTTAATTTTGATGGGTATTTAATTTTTAATTGTAATTATGATAATGTGATGTTGTATTTATACAAGTAAATTTCTTAGAAAAACAAAATTTAGAGGGGAGAAAGATGTTACAAGGCAAGAAAAGAATAGAGATGCAAGGAAATTAGAAAAGGCAAGAGGCCAAGAGAGTGAATATATATGTGTATATATATATGTATGAATATATTTGTATATGTGTATGTGGATGGGTGGGATTGGAGTTTTTTTTTTTTTGAAACCCATGTCTACTTCTGATCTTTTGTAACCCCTTGGGCCAACACCCAGTTAAGATAATTTAAAAATTACAGCCTTCATGCATGATCCCTCTCGATTTGTGTTTTACTTTTTTGAAAATTTTATGAGTCTCTAACAACAATTACGT